AGTGAACTAACTCAGTCCCATAAGGATAAATACTGTATGAGACCATTATTATAGAAATAGAAAGATAACTAGTAAAAACGAGTATGAGGATCCAAGGAAGGGGGCAGTAGGAGGAGGGAATGAGAATGGGCAGGGGGGAAATTCATAGGATTGCACAATTTGCTGTATGGAGGGAGGGGTAGGTAAAGGAAATGGGAAATATCGGGTAGGGATCTGGAAATACAGGGTTCAGTGTTGATTGATTTTATAAACTATAATGAATTGAAATGATTGTATGAAACACAATGTGAATTAAGGATAATGTGAAACAATGTACACAAACTTTGTAAGTAAACCAATATAAAACAAAAATTTAAAAAGAAAAAAATACCAAAAAACCAACCAAACAAATAATTCTGGCTTAAATGTCTATGTGGAATCCTCATTTCAGATATTGGGGACTTGGTGACAGAAATGAAGTTGGAGATAGAATGATAGAATTTTGCATGATCAACAATTTATTAATTGCAAATATGTTTTATAAGAAACATAAACACGGGCTATACACATGGATTTCACCTAATCATATGCATAGGAATCAGATCAATTACATCTGTGGAAAGACTTGCTGGAGAAGCTCAATTTCCGCTGTGAAATCTAGGCCAGCCAGGTGCTGATTGTGGAACAGACCACCAACTGCTCATATGCAAATTCAAGCTGAAACTAAGGAAAATGATTTCAAATTAATCTTGAGTCTATCCCACTTGAATTTCAAAACCATCTCAGGAACAGGTTTGAGGCCTTGAACACTAATGAGTGAAGACCAGATGAGCCATGGGAAGATATCAAGAATATCATCCAGGAAGAATGCCAGGGTCATTACAAAGATAGAGGAGGGAAAAAAGACCAAGATGTAAGTCAGAAGAGACTCTGAATATAGCACTAGAGCACCAACAAGCCAAAACAAAGGGAAGAAATCAAGATATTAAGGGCTTGAACAAAAGATTTCAAAGGGCAGCCCGGGAAGACAAAATAAAGTATTATAATGAAATGTGCAAAGAGCTGGTGTCAGAAAATCAAAGAGGCCAAATTCGCTCAGCATTTCTTAAGCTTAAGGAACTGAAGAACAACTACAAGCCTCTACTGCATGGTTCAAAATTAGGAAGGGTGTGCATCAAGGATGTGTCCTATCTCCATATATTTTCAATCTATATGTGGAACAGATTATCCAGGAGGCTGAGCTCTATGAGGAGAAGTGTGGCATCAGGATTGGAGGTAGACTCATCAACAATCTGCGTTATGCAGATGACACAACCCTGCTTGCTGAAACTGAGGAGGACCTGAAGCGTTTGTTGAAGGTCAAGGACTGAAGCCTTCGGTATGGATTGAAGCGCAACATCCAGAAAACAAAGATTCTAATTCTGAGCCTATTGGCAGCATCATCATAGATGGTGAAGAGATGGAGATTGTTGAAGGCTTTAGTTTGCTTGGCTCTACAATCAACACTCTTAGTACCAGCAGCCAGGAAACTAAAAGACAAATT